TATCCGCTCGCTTGTGTTAAGTCGGGCCTGTCCCCATACAGGGGGGCCTTTGGACGACAAACGAAAAATACCCACCAAAAGAAATACCCCAAAGAGGCCCAAACATACTCAAAACATGGTCCCCAGACTTTTTTAAAACCATTTTTGGATATCCCCCCTGTAGATTACCAGCCTGGAACATATCCCGATCCCTATGCTGGGCACCTCCTCACCACGATCCCAATCTCAGGGATCCCCTCATCTTTGAGGGCGAACCCCTAAGATTGTCATCGCCTTTTGGCGTGCCAATCTTAGGGATAGGGATACGTTCGAGGCTGGTTAGTACAGTCGGGGCGTTGACGTAAGGAACGATAAATAAGGAACGAGGCCCCTTTTTCCCATACAGTAAACTCCGATTTCCCATGGAAAACCTCAGGAAAGCCCAAGGAGCGCTGTAAAGCAACTAAGGAGCACGGAGCCCCTCCCCAACAAAAAGGGCTCCTTCTCCAGGGCCCCGACCGTAGAGGGAGACGAGCCCGACTCAGCGCCTGTGCCCCGCGAGGCGCCCCTGCGAGGCGCCCCTGCGAGGCGACCGCTTGCTTGTGCCTCGAGCGAGGCGCCCCTCGCCCGCCGGCGGGGCGCCACTCTGCGTGGGCCGCTCTCGCGGCCTCCGGCGGGCGCCCCCTGCGCTCCTGCCTCCGCGCCGTCTCTTGGCCGCCCGCGAGCACGGCAGCGCGCGCGCTGCGTCGGGGAGCTCCCGGCGCGCCCGGGTGACTCCGGACCCGGGTCAGCCGCTGGCCATCGCTCGGACGTCCAATGCCTGCGCTTTCTTCGGTTTCGTGCGTGGCTTTTCCGCAAAATATGATCAGGGGTGCTCCTCGAGGGTCCTCCCCGGAGGAAAAATGCACACGTCCGAGGGATGCCAGGGCAGGAAACCGACAAACTGCGACGCAGGAACCCAAAAAACTGCCCTCGCAGACCCGGGTCAACACCAAAAGTGCGCGGTCGCCTCTCGCGGCCACGAGCGGCGCGCTGACCCGGGTCAGCCAGCAGGGGTCTTCGCAGGATCCTGCAGGATTCGGTGCCCTGGCTGACCCCCGTTTGCATGGACCCCCGTCTCCTGAGCCCCGAGCTGCGGCCATGACTGCTCTCGCCGGTTGGAGCACATGCGGTACTTGAGGATGAGGATGATGATGAGGATGAATGGTGATGATGATGAGGATGATGATGAGGATGATGATGATGAGGATGATGATGATGATGATGATGATGGTGGGGAGGAGAAGGAGGAGGAGGAGAATGGTGATGGTGGTGGTGACGGTGATGGTGGTGATGATGATGATTACGATGATGATGATTATGATGATGATGCGGATGCTGATGCTGATGAGCATGGGCATGATGATGCTGATGATGCTGATGCTGATGCTGGTGCTGATGCCGATGATGATGCGGATGCTGATGCTGATGCTGCTGATGCTGATGCTCGCAATGACGATGATGACGATGACGATGACGATGATGATGATGATGATGATGATGATGATGATGATGATGATGATGATGATGATGATGCTGCTGCTGCTGCTGCTGCTGCTAATGCTGATGCTGATGCTGATGCTGATGCTGATGACGATGATGATGATGCTGATGATGATGATGACGACGATGATGATGGTGATGATGAGAGGGACACGGAGAAGGACCCGAAGGAGGAGGAGGAGGAGGAGGAGAACATGGGGGCAGCGAGGAGAAGGATGATGAGGAGGGAATAACGTGAACCCCCCAGGAGGAGGGAGGGAGGAAAGCAAAAGGAGGCAGAGCGCGGCCGCAAGACAGATCCTCCTGACCTCCCCGATCTGCGTCTACGCTAAACTAAGATGGGTCATCTCTACATCTGCGTCTTACATTGAGCGAAGAAAAAAAAAAAACGACCCTACCCTGGGTTACAAGTGCGTGGTCTGTAAACCTCCTGGGAGCCCCCAGAGCCTAGAGCCGCCAGGACGCGGCACATCACGACAGGGTTTACCCCGTCAGCCCACAGGAGTTTCAGCGCACAGCGCCTCTTACACCAGGGTAGGGGCGTTTTTTTGTGCCCTTGATTACTACCCGTCCACCCCACCTCTCAGGGTGATGCCGCCCTCCTCGCCGCGCCCCCGCATCCCCACGCCGGGCAGCACAGTCGCGACGCACGGCGCTTGGCAGTGCTTCTGTCTCCGGGAGCCGCTGCCCGGGTCCCGCGGCCATCAAAAGACGGCTCGGGATGAAGCGCCGTTCCCGCGGAAGGGGTCAGACCTCGGGGGGTTCACGTTAGCTCGTTCGCAAACCATGTCGCTTACCAGCCTGGAACATATCCCTATCCCTATGTTGGGCATCGCCTCATCACGATGGCGATCTTAGGGATTTCCTCAGTTTCTGAGGGTGTATCCCTAAGATTGTCATCTCCTTTTAGCGTGTCAATCTTAGGGGTAGGGATAAGTTCGAGGCTGGTGAGTCGCACAACATGTCGGCTCACAAAGAGGAGGGTGCCAGCCGCGCAGGAAGCGGCAATCGGATATCAGAGAGTGCACGAAGGGAAACACAAGGTTGATCCGTTGTTTAACAATCGCACTGCGCAGTAAAGCTGCTCGTTGCAAAAGAAAAACCGCGACGACGGAGTAGTCAGCAGTCTGCAGTCCGCAAGCGAGCTGCAGCGCGCGAGAGGGCACAGGGGCGCGCGTCAGAAGAAGGGCTTGCCAGTGTCGCCGCTGAAAGCGAAGGCGGGAATCCACCAGCGGAGTTGGCAGGAGGCGCGTGAGTGAGCGAGGGCAAAGCAAAACGAGGTGGCAGAGCGTCGCCGATGTCGCCGCTGAGGGCGGGGGCGGGAGTCTGCCAGACGCTGAGAGGCAGCGCCGGCGGAGTTGGCAAGGGGGCGTGCGCGCAAGGGAGGAGCAGAGCGGAGCGGAACAGACGCTGGCGCATGGGCTCCGCGAGGGAGATGCCTGGAGGGCCGTGGCCCGCTCAAGCCGTTGATGTAGTCGTCTCTCAGTCGGATGCCCACGCCTTCTGGTTTCGCAACCGGTGTCCAGTCGTCGTGGCCAGCGGTTGTGAGCACATCATGTTTGATATCGTCCATGCACCGAGGCAGGAAGTCGACGAAGAGCGGGCCCTCCTCACCTTTTCACTCGGCGTCTAGGCTGAGCAGAGCCTCCAGGAGCAGGTCTAGTGGTTGCCGAGCAGCCTCGGCGATCGAACGGGCGATCGGGTTCGGAATCCTCTCGCCGATGCCCAGCTCCCGCCTCGCCGCGGGGAGGAGCCGATGCACCGGCGAAACATCGGCGTCACGCCTCGGCCCGAGTCTGGCGAAGGTCCGACGAGGGCCAGGGCGACGAGGAGAGGGGAGGGGGAGGGGAGGTCGACTCCGATTTGCCGCGCCTCACCGCCGACCGACGTGTTCCCTGCCCGCCCGTGTCATTTTCTTTTCAAACGCTAGGCAGCTCAGTAGTGCGAGCGGCCGTGGCGGACTCAAGCTGGAACCTAAAAAGATATGCTGCAGAACGGGAGACGGAGACGCCGGCGAGAGCATCCCCAGCGACTCCGCAACTGCAGGAAGGCTTCCTGCCCGCCCCCATCGCCCCTCCTCCTCCTCCTCCTCCTCCTCCTCCTCCTCCTCCTCCTCCTCCTCCTGCTCCTCCTGCTCCTCCTGCTCCTCCTGCTCCTCCTGCTCCTCGTCCTCGTCCTCGTCCTCCTCCTCCTCCTCCTCCTCCTCCTCCTCCTCCTCCTCCTCCTCCTCCTCCTCCTCCTCCTCCTCCTCCTCCCCCCTCCCCCTCCCCCTCCCCCTCCTCCTCCCCCTCCCCCTCCCCCCCTCCTCCTCCAACTCAACAAGACCGGGCGCCCGGTACACGGTGCACATTCCTTCCCTTCCCGCGCCAGGCTCGCCGCGGCTGGCCCCAGCAGCGCTCGCTTCCTGCATGAACTCCACAAGACCGGGCGCCCGTGACACGGTGAACACTCCTGCCCCTCCCGTGCCAGGCTCGCCGCGGCTGGGCACCAGGAGGGGAGGGAGGGGGAGGAGTGGGAGCAGGAGGTGGAGCACGAGGAGGAGGAGGGGAGGAGGAGGAGGAGGAGGAGGAGGAGGAGGAGGAGGAGGAGGAGGAGGAGGAGGAGGAGGAGGAGGAGGAGGCTCGTTGCCGCCCTCCCCCACTGGCGAGCGCCGCCGCGCGAGGGAACCGCGAGGGCGCGCGCCGAAGGCTTGGCAGGCAGCCGCCCGCGGCGACGGCAGCGGGAGGAGGAGAGCAGAGTTCTGTCGGGCCTGTCCCCCTACATGGGGGATCTTCCACGAAAAATGAAAAAAATGCAAAACATGCACCCAAAAGGCCAACAAATAGTCACAAAATAGTCCCCAGACTAGTTTTGGATTTGTTTATTGGCTATGTTTAGGGTGTTTTTTTAAAAAATCTTCGTCGAAAATCCCCCTGTAGGGGGACAGGCCCGACTTAAGAGTAGAGGGAACGAGCCGCGGAGGCGCCACGCCTCTGCCCTTTGCGAGGCTCTGGCGCCACCGCCGCCCTCCCTGTCGCCACCGCCGCCGCCACCGCAGCCGCCTCCGCCGCCGTCGCCGCTGCCGCCGCCGTGGCCGTCGTCGCCGTCGCCGTCGCCATCGTCGCCGCCACCGCCGTCGCTGCCGCCGCCGCGGCCGCCGCCGTCGCCGTCGCCGCCGTCGCCGTGGCCGTCGCCAGCTGGCGGAGGGGAGGTCCCCCGGAGTGCTCCCAGTCACGCCCACGAGCAGTGTGCGAACAGCGCAAGCACGGCAGCGGGCCGCGGCAGTGGCACCGACGTCAACATCAGGGAGCCTTCATGGCCTGCTATGTGTAGAAGGCAAAGGCGCGTGAGCGAACAGCATAGCCGAGCGGTTGCCAACCCTGATGCCCCGTAACAGTCCATAGACACAGGCGCACAACAACGTCACCACTGAGAGCATGAGAGTGGTGGAGAAGAGGGAGGAGAGAGGGGCGACGAGGGATAATTAAGAGGATGATTTTTTCTATCTCTGCGGATCCGAGCGCCCCCGCCATGTGAAAGGTCACACCCACGGGCGCAATCGCAGAGGTGGCGCGGCGCGGACGGATGATGAGGGGGGGAGGGGGGGAGAACGGGGGAGGAGGAGGAGGAGGGACGGGGGGGACGAGTCCGACTCGATCGCATCCGACGGCACGGCTGGAGGCGCATGCCACTTGCGCCAAGGCCTGCGGAGGAGGGAGGCGAGGCGGAGGAGGAGAGCGGGGGAGGAGAGGGACGAACGCGGGGAATGGAAAAAGGAAAACTCCGGCGGCGTCATGCCGCGAAACGCGGGCAGCGCCAGGCCCCCCCCCGAGCGCCTGGCGCGTGCCCTTTAGTCTTCTTCGCTCCTGAGCGGTGAGCGCGGCGTGACGCGAGGCGCCCTCACGGCTTGTTGCTGTACTGTTGGTCGTCATACTTCTTGGCCTTGGCGACGACGTCCTTGGAGCCGACGTAGGCGGTGACGGACAGGATGACCACCATGACGGCCATGAAGGACGAGACCTCGAAGACCTCCTCGAAGTAGGGCAGGCTCACGTTCATGATGTAGATGACAAGCACGGCGGAGGCCTCCCCGATGTTCTTGAGCACGGAATCCAGCAGCGACAGGATGGCCATGGTGCTCCAGCACTTCACGGTGAAGGAGGCGAACACGCCCCAGACAGCTGGGGTCCAGCCCTTGAAGAAGCCCTCCTGCCACGTCTTGCCGTCCGTGAACGAGATCATGAGGATGACGAGGGTCCACGCCACCTTCATCTGCGTCAGCTGCACGTAGAAAGGCAGAGACTTGAAATCCTTCATGTACTTGTCCGCGAGCACCGCGCAGAGGCAGGAGACGGTGACCTTCAGCAGCACGTTGATCACGCCCATGATGGGGATGCCGCCGTCACCGCCGCCCGAGTCGCTGCTGCCGCCCATCATGTAGCAGCACATGGACAGCATGATCAGCACGAGGATGTTCCACTGCAGGGGGGCCTGCTTCTCACCCTTCATGTACCACACCATCAGCGCGGTGATGACGAGCTTGGACTGCAGAAGAACCTGATAGGCGGCGCCACCCAGGGCGCCCATGCTGGCCATCTCCAGGTAGTCCCCAAGCGCGTACATGAAGCCGATAGCGCAGAAGACCTTCAGCGACTTGACGTCCCACAGGAGCTTGGTCTTTCCATTGGCGGCTGCCATCAAGGCCCCGGCAATGAGGGTGAAGAAGCACTCGCCGAGGACGACGGTCATGTTTCCATAGGCGAGGCCCCGCTTGCCCGTCTCCTCGTCGACGGTCTTGGACGCGTCGATGATGGTTGGGTGGATCGCGCGCGTGAGCACGAAGAAGCAGAAGAGACCAGCCTTCTGGGCCCCGCTGGGGCCGCTGGACCCCGCCTTTTTGGACGCCCGACATGGGTACCGAAGAAATGGGTACGATGCCCAACAACAAATGTTGTCCCAAACCAGCAGCGGCCGCTGTTGGGCAGGCGGCCTTCTGCCTCAAATGTGCACAGGCCGCGGCGGCGCCGACGGCGAATCCTGTTCAGAATGAACAGGAACTGCTGTTGGGCATAGTACCCATTCTTTCCGTACCCATTTCGGGCGTCCAGAGCCTTGACGTCAGAGAACTCCTGGCCCGTGTAGGGCGACGTCATCGCCGGCGGCCCCATCATTTCTGTTGTTGCTGGCCCGCGCGCGGCACCTCCCTGCGGCTCGCCTGGCAGACCCTCCCCTGCGGGCTCTACAGAACAGCCTGGGGCCAAAGTGGCTACGGAGGGGTGGGGAAGAGGAAGAGGAGGAGGAGAAAGAGGAGGTGGAGGAGGACGAGGAGGAGGAGGAGGCGAACGGGGATCGAAACTTCACGGAGGTGTTAGGCTTATCCAGATGCCCATGGGAGTCGCCGGAGGTTGTCGAATGTTTCGAGAGGGATAAGAGGAGGAAGAAGTTGAGGTGGAGAAGGAGGGGTTTTAGCGAATCTCAGGCGTGTCAAACCCCACCGATGCTGAAACACACCCTCCAGTCCCAAGGCCTCCCCCCTCATAAGTCCATACAAGCATTCGTCTTCACTGCGCGAGGAATTCAAACGCTCCGCTGCGTGAGAAAACGACCCTCAAGCTTTCAAGCTACAAAGGGATGCGACAAGGTGCTACCATTAGATTTAAAGAAATGCCCAACGACACTCCCGCTTTGATAAATACCCGTGTAGCTGTTGCACGGGATCCGTGTAGCTGTTGCACGGGTGTAGAATAGTAGGATCCTGTACTGTCGGCCGAAGCACACATCGATTGCCCTATTTTGAAAAAAATCCCGCCCTCCATCCATGAAACTGGTGCACTCTCGTGTACATGTGGTGATCTGTTTGGGGAAAATCTCCGGCGACAGCCTGAATTCAAAAAAGAGGGCGCCCCAGACCCTGTAACCGTTCGAAACAAGACGGGTGCGCACGGCGCCAGCAGAAACCCCACTTTGAAAAAACGTCGTCCTTTGCCCGTGTAGCCTTTGGAAGTGTCTAGGACTAGTGGGTGCACGTGGAACAAAGGCGAAACCCTCATTTTCAAAATGCCTCGGCCTACATGACTGCAGCTGTTGAATTCCTGCAACGCGAAGCGCGCGGCGCTAAGGCTGAGGCGGGAGCCCCGTTGCCAAACCGGCTCGCCGCCCATCCCTGTAACTGTTGGAGATGTTTATCAGAGGCGACGATAAGGGGCGAATAGCCCAGGGGAGAGCAATACATGTGTTAAAGTGCGCCGATGATCTATGTCTTCGTTGAGGCTCCCGGGCGAATCCGCCGATCAGCTCTGCTTGGGGGGGTCGCCGGGGTGGCTCTGCCGGGGAAGGGGAGGAGGGGGGGGGGGTCCTCCATCTGGCGTTTCTTAAGGACCCGCGCACCCTCAAGATGTTGCGGGGGGGGGGCGAGGGACCCCCCCCCGAGGCCTCTCCCCTCGGAACCCTCCCCCGACCCCCCTGGGGAAGGGGGGGAGGGGGAGGGGGGGGCGGTCCCCCACCCGAATTTTCTTAATGAGTTGCGCATCCCCAAGATGTTTCGGGCCTCCCCGCGGAACCCTCCCCGGACCCCCCCCCCAGGACCGCTCCAGGCACCCCCCCAGAGGGCACGTCAGCTCCAAAAAACGCCCCCGACGACACCAAGAGCGCCCTCCAAGACAGCGTCCCCGACGACTCCAGGATCACCGAATCCAGAGCCCCCCGGATCGGCGGCACAGGCCGGAGGCCACTACAATGCGTGTAATGCCAGCCCCTGACGTCGCCGCCGAGTTTACGACGAGCGCCCACGGCGCCAACGCGAGAGCCCCACTTCGAAAACGACCTGCCCTCCGTCCGTGTAGGCCACGCGGCTTCTCGGGCCTCGTGAGCAGCAGCGCGGCCACAGGCGAAACGCCCGGCCCGCCCCGCCGGCACGGTCTGGTGGCGCGGCTAGGAGGAGCTGGCGGGGGAAGGGGGGAGGACGAGCAGGAAGAGGGGGGGAGGGAGGAATGGCTGAGGACGTCGTAGAGTTCTCTTGAGATTCCGCGCGGGGCCACGTGGATCTTGGAAGCCTCTTCCTCCTCCTCCTCCTCCTCCTCCTCCTCCTCCTCCTCCTCCACCTCCCTTCTTCGTCCCTCCCTCCGACCCTCCCCCGCCCCTCCATGCTTCCCTCCTTCCTTCTCTCCCTCCCTTCCGCGGCTCCGGCACTCGCCCACCTGAGGGACTAATGGCCATAGGAGCGCGGCGTGTGCAGTAGGTTCCAATCTGCCGAAAGCCCAAGCTGGAACGGGGCCCGAACCGAACCGGCGCTCGAACCTGCCAAAATGCCAGCCTCGAGCCGTCTTCGGGCCTTGTTCTCTCCTGCCTTCCTCGCGCACAGCGGGCCACGCCGGCGCCTTGCTTGGAGCCGTCGCTGGCGCTGGCCGCCTCGCGCCCCTTGAGCAGGCTCAGCAGGGCGGCGCCCTGAGGTGGGATCGAGGAGTATGCGCAGGACGAAGAAGAGAAGGAGAGTATGAGGAGGAGGAGGTAGAAGGGTAGTAGTAGTAGTAGTAGTAGTAGTAGTAGTAGTAGTAGTAGTAGTAGTAGTAGTAGTAGTAGTAGTAGTAGTAGTAGTAGTAGTAGTAGTAGTAGTAGTAGTAGTAGTAGTAGTAGTAGTAGTAGTAGTAGTAGTAGTAGTAGTAGTAGTAGTAGTAGTAGTAGTAGTAGTAGTAGTAGTAGTAGTAGTAGTAGTAGTAGTAGTAGTAGTAGTAGTAGTAGTAGTAGTAGTAGTAGTAGTAGTAGTAGTAGTAGTAG